ATGGAAAAAATTGATTCATGACGTAAGATCTTATTTTTGAGATCACTCATATTTATATAAAAAATATAAGGATCAAGTTATTAAAAGATTTGTATCATTAAAAGAAACCTAAAAAATTATTCAGAAATTTCATGATTCTGAGTTTGGGGGATACTTTGGTGGAGATAAAACTGTATTTAAGATTTTACAATCTAAATTTTATTGGCCTACTATGTTTAGGAATGTGAATATATATAAAAATGTAACATACTAAGCAGGATGAAATGCCCCTAAACTTTATTTTTAGAAATTGAGATTTTTTATGTTTGGGGTTTAGACTTTGTGGGATCATTTATACCTTCACTAAGAAATTTGTATATTCTGATTGTTGTAGACTATGTCTCTAAGTGGATTGAAGCAGTAGTTATACTCAGCTGTGATGCTCAAAGTGTTGTGAAATTTTTGAAGAAAAATATTTTTATTAGATTTTGAGATGCTGAGAGTAATTATTACATATGGGGGAAGCCATTTTAAGAACAAAAGGATTGAGACATTAGTTGCAAAATTTGATATTAAACATAGGATAACTACAACATATCACCCTCAGACTAGTAGTTTAGCTGGTTTCTAATAGAGAAATCAAGAGAATATTGGAAAAAATTGCTAATCCTAACAGGAAGAATTAGTCATTGAGACTTGACGATGCACATTAGGCTTATAGGACTGTGTATAAATCACCAATTGGAATATCTCCTTATAGACTAATTTTTGACAAAGCTTGCTACTTATCAGTAAAACATGAGCATAAACATATTGGGCAATTAAAGAATTTAATTATAATTTGAAAGAAATTGGTGATAAGAGATTATTGCAGTTAAATGAACTCGAGAAAACTAGGAATGAATCTTATGATAATGCGAAAATTTATAAAGAGAATGAAAAATTGACATGATCGGAGGATTCTTCAGAAAGATTTTGAACCTAGACAGAAGGTTTTACTATATAATACAAGATTAAAATTATTTTCTGGAAAACCTAAGTCCAGGAGGTCTGTTTCATTTACTGTAATTAAAGTTTATTCTTTTAGCGCAATCAACATTAAAAATCCTAAAACTGGTATGATATTTAAAGTTAGCGAACAAAGGCTTAAACTTTATATATGTGAAAATAAGCGTATAATAAATGAAGTTTTAATGATGGGTCAACTGAAGTAAATATTTGGATTCGTCAGGCTGATGATGTTAAACCAAGCGTTTTTTGAAAAGCAACACAAGTTTTGTATCTGTGTCTGATTGTGTTTGTAGCGAGTTGTCTTATTTTTTTTTGTGGATTGGAGTGTTTGTTTGGATTGTTTGTTTAGGTTTGAGACAAATTGCTTTGATTTTATTAAGTCATGTGAGATTGTGAATCGATAATCTTCTCGTTAAGACTAGGGGCTCGATTGGGGCAGCTCTCACCGTTTCGAAAACAAGTTTTTTAGAGGACGGGGAAATTCTTGAGGTTGGCAACACATAAGCTAACATATTGGGAGTAATCTTGTCTAGGGGTTTGACCAATAAAATATTTAAAAGCACCCATTAGCTATTTAGAAGAAGATTCTGTTAGGAATTGGAAGGAAGGGAGGAGTGATGAAAAGTAGGATGAGCTAATTTCCATTATCGTTTGTATTTATTTATTTTCTAGTGTGAATTAAGACTTGGAGAGAATCAATATAGTCACTTTAAATGATTTGAAACAAATTTGGTGCGTTCACGAAGACCTAGGGACTCCTGGCATCAAAATGCTAGGATGTAAACTAGCACCTTTGCCCCTAGGAGCCGCAATTCGAGCGCCTTGGTGCCCATATCACGACGCCTAGGCACCGGTTTCCTCTACTCGAGAAAAACCGGCCCGATAGCTCCAGTTTAAGTCATTTTTGCCAGATTTTCTACCCAACTTTTCTCAAGCGAAATTAGGGGGATACTTGGGGTTTTCTTTCTCTTGCATTTAGATCAATCTTGGAGCTTTGAAGCTTGGAATCCCTCTGCCAAAGTTGAAATTCCAAATCTCAGCCTTTCATTTCCTTATTCACCTGGGAAATTTTTGAATTTTTCGGTTAATCCGTGAAGAAGAGAACCTTTGATTTGCATATCTCACTCTTGTTATTGCACTAAAAACCAAAGGGAGGTTGAACAAGGATTCATTTGACAAGTCTAAGTTTCTTAACACTGCAGCTGAGGAAAGATATCGTGATTTCGTAGTAACTTATTGCTGAAGGAGGTTTTGTTAATCCTGGATAAGAGATAGATAGAATAATAAAAAGTAAGAAGTAGGAGAAGCTCTGTTACAACACTTCAACTGCAGCGGTACCAGTGCTAAGAGAATTCTATCTGAATTTACTTGAAGCTCATAACAATATCTTTTTTGTGAGAGGATCGTGTGTGGACATGTCTATTGCTCGCATTAATGAATTATTAACTTTGGATAGTACTCCTTACTTCTCTTATGCAGATTCTACTATTGATATGTTAAATGAAGTGATAAATTTCTTGACTGATGGTAGAGGTAAATGGAAAATTATTGAGGGAGTACTGGTTAAATTCTCTGCTTCAGAATTAAATAAGATATCAAAAGCCTGGCATTTATTCATTTATGCTAAACTAATGCCTTCTACCAATGTTAGTTATGTGTCTAAGAAGCGATCCTATTTGAAATTTTGCATCTAAAAAGATCTCCCCATTGATGTAGGGTCTGGTTTAGGACATCCATCCATTGTCTTTTCCTTATGTCAAAATGTCGGAGGTATGGTTTAAAGTGGGGAAGAGATTCTACATCCATTGAAACCAATTTCTGCATCAAAATTTGATTTGTATAAATGGCATGTGGATGTTAAGAGAGGTTGTGATATGGGGTTGTCAAGTTCTTCTACTTCTTATCCATCACACATTTGCTCTACATTTAGACAAAGTAATGAATGATACTGAAATTCTCTAAGTAGAGGTATACAAATTTAATGAGCATTTGTCACATTTGGATCAACAAAATAAAAGTAGATTTGACCATTGAGCCATGTTTCGTGCTGCTCAGCTAGAGATGTATCGACAAAATCATTGGATTGGGGGTGAAAAATCAGTAGAGTTTCCTGCATATCCCCCATACCAGTTATATGAGCACAACAAGGCTATGGAAGTAGATTCTGAGGAAGAAGCTGAGGCAGGTGCTGGTGATGATGATGAATGAGGAGGAAGATTAAATTTATATTTTCATTCTAATGTAATGTACTGATGTAATATTCTGATGTACTGTATTGATGTATTTGCTTTTTAATCTATTGTACTGGACATTTATCTTGTTGTTTCTACCTACTTTGATATATTTAGTTTTTATTTTAATGTACTGGATTAGTATTTCTTATTGTTCTAGGTTATATATGGATTTGCGTGTTGCGATAAAGCAGATCTTTTTAATGTAATATTCATGTGAAACATATTGAACTGAGATTCACTTACTGTTACAAACTTGTCCTTTTTGTTTATACCTGCATATTTTTCATGTTAGACTTTTGTATTAGAAAATAATTCAGTTCTATTTTCTCCATGCTTATATTCTGTATTGAATACTATACATGTCAAAAAACAAGTTCGGAAGGGTGGAGGAAAATATTTAAAGAAGGTAAATTTTATTTGTCCTCAGTAGCTTGCATTTAAAATTGATATAACTTTAAAAGAACTTGAGATATGTGATGTTCTTCTTAGGGTACTATATTTTTTTTTCGGGAATGTTATAGTAGACTTAGTTGAAATTTTTGATAGGACTAATCAAAGTGGGCTCAAGTTGGACTAGAGCCTGGATTTATTTATAATTTCACAGGCCGACTTGCCTACTAAATGGGTCAGGTCGGCCCGCGGGCTGCTATGGACTTTAAAAGAAAAATGATTTGATATACCAAAAAATAAATAAATAACAAAATCCTTAATATTTTCTCTCAAATCATGTTGTTGATTTAAAATATTCAAAAAATATGCAATATGAACATTCGAAATATGAAAGAATGTGTGACAAAAGTTTTAAATTGATTTTATATGTAAAAATTTTAGCTATGTGTTTATGAAATAAATTAGATTTTAAACTGAGAACATCTTAACATGTAAAAAAAAAAAGAATAGAGTAAAATGCCGCCAAAAAAAATTACATATATGCTACTCATCAAATTATATTTAATTACATATCTAACACCCGGACTTCAATTTTTATATATTTGTCAGCTTATATATGCATTTTAAAAGAAATATAAAAGTGACAGTTTTTATGTGATATAAAAGATTTTATTGATATTAATATAAAAAACAAAACTTATGGAGAGATAAAGAAGAAAAAGGATAAGAAAACTAATTGCCTTAAAAGCTTGAATCGTGAAATATATTGATGAGATCGGGCTAACGTGCGGGTCAGGCTAGGTGTGGGTCGGGCTTATTCAGGCTTTGACTAAGGCAAAATGAGTGTGGGCCGAGCTGAGCCTGCAAAGCGGTCTTATGGCAAGCCTGTCGGGTTGCCCACCCAATGCCTAGGCTTAATCATGAGCAATTTTTAGAGTATAAGTGATATCTCTCACAAGCTTTTAGATTTTGCAGGTTAATTTTTTCGATAATTTTGTTGTAGTTCTATAATTCTATTATTTCATATAAATATTTAAAAAAAATTATCTACCTCATTAACTACTATAAATATTATATTTCCTCATTCTTTTATGTCAAAACAATTAAATTTTGAAATTATTTTTCAATATAATTTTATATCCTACATATTTCACATAAACATCATTAAAATTTTATTTTCTGTTTTAATTTATTATAAATATATTTATTTTTTTATTACCAATAATATATTTATTCATTAGATATTAAAAACGGATGTCGTCATAAAAAGCCATCCGTTTCCTTCCACGGCGTGGCTCCTCCAATAGTAAAGAGTAAATGCCACAACTACGACATCAAAGCCGGGTAGGACAACTTGCACGCCAGCACTGACGTGCGCGCAGGTACCCCTGCGTCAATATCCAATGTGTTCGAACCATGCGCCATGGCCTGCTCGCTGCCCGGCGGCCAAAAACATGAACTTTTTTTAAGAGAAAATGGAGAGGGGGAGAGGGGGAATACTTGGAGCTGGTCAGTGATGTAGTCCTGCTGGTTGGTTTCCGTGAGGATGGGGGTTCCAGTGCGCGATTTCTGGCCAAGCCGCGCGAATGAGTTATGCGTCGTCAGCCACGCATACTTGTTGAAGGCTAGCCCTGTCCCCTGCACCCGTAACACGCTCATTCTCTAGATCTATCACATGCCTCAAAATTAGAACTGATTCTTACCATAAATTTAGGATCATACGGCCTAATCCGTGTACAACGGGGCCGGATTCCGCCATCTGCTACGCAGGTCTCACAGTGCAGCCCCGCGTCGCAGTTCCCATCCACCAAGCACGTCTGCCCCAGCTGCACTCTCAAACCAAATCCCATTAAAAAGATAAGAGAGTGCGACAGAGAGAGAGAGAGAGAGAGAGATTATATGACCTTTGCAGCAGAGGAAATCGTCGTAGCGCTCAACAGAAGTAGGAACGGTATAAAGAAAGCAAGGATTTGATGATGATTAATGCTAGCCTCCATTTCAACTTTCCACTTGACCGAGAGACAGAAAGAGAGATGTTTTGCGAGAACAGAGATCCTATGTCGTTCAGTAATAGATAGCGAGCACCGTCTGCTGCAGGGTCAAGGAACATGTGGCATACATTTCGATGGTTGGTGAGCAGGGGCTCAAATCCGTCTCGAAACTCGATAGAGTATCGACAGCTAGTTTTTGCTTCTAATAATTAGTGGTAGCTGTTGGGAGTCAGTAAAGGGATGATGTTATGATGACTTTGGTCACAGGCGCCGTGATTTTGCTACCTAACTAGTCGTAATATCGGGCAACATTTCTGATGGTGAAGTTAGCCCCAATCATAATAAAATAATTAATATTACTATTTGAATTAAAGAAATAGTTATAATCAATATATTTAAAAGGTGAAACACAATGACATGAGCAAATGTCATCAAGAGCGGGGGCGTTTGTTAGATGAATTGGAATGACTGGTGAGAGTCGCGATAGTAAGGGAAGCAATGGGAGGTGTGAAAATGCAGGAAGAACAAGTACGGTTGTTGTCTTAGGTGGTGGCAGTGAGGTGTTGAAATGGATAGCGGCGGAAGAGCAGGCACGACGTGTTTCTCGGCTGAAACAGCAGAAAGGAGGTGCGGTTTGGGCGGCATGAATACTAAAAGGGAAGGGGAGGCGGCTGGTAGACTGAAGCCTACAAAACATAGCAATCTAAGTAATGTTCTGATAGGATACAATGAGGTATGGCTATAGAAAGCGACGTGGGAGGATGTAGAAAGGAAAAGGAGAGATAATCATCACCTCAGGAGAGAGATACAACTAAAGTACCAACCAATCCCTTTGATACAACCCTAGAAAAGGAAAACGTGCACCAGCGGTTTTCCTGACAGAAATCTATAATCTAGATGACAGACAACATATTTTTAATAGGTATTAGTAGTTATAATAGGAAAGAATAAGAGTATGAAGGAAAAAAAATTAAGAAAAGAATAGGAAAAGACAAGGAATGGAAGATGAAGGATGAGAAATATGAAAGGAAGAGAAATATGTAAGGAATAGAAATAAAAAAATGAAGAGAAATAGCCAAGAACTAAAATTAGGAAAGAAATAAAAGATAAGAAGTTCCCTATATGAAAGGGAGTAAAATAAGAAATTGGGAGAGAGAATAAGCGGCAATTCCAACCCCCATGAATGTCGGTCAATTCAGCTAACCACCTAATAAGCCCACATTAGTCTCTTGGGGTTGGGGCAGCTCCGACTTCATTCTTCAGTGCTTCCGGCTCACATAGCATGGAGTCAAGTCTGTCACGTTGAAGGTAGCAAAAACAATGTAGTCCCTTGGTAGGTTGATTATATTAGTGATATCATTCCACAATACGTCTTGATAGAACAAATACATATTATCACTTAGTATGTCCTGAGCTAGGGTTGTATATAGATGCAGGTTCCCACAATGTAACTCTTGAGCTCTCAAGTATGGAAGTTTCTTCTTCCATTTCTCATACTCAGTGGAATGTAGTTGATAAACCAATATGTGAGGAAAGGTCAGTTCTAGGGTGGACTCTTCGTCAAGTTGCATCATTCTAACTAGCAACCACTCAGAATATATCTCTTCTTCACTGATAGAACCTGTATCCCACTAATAAATTTTTTTCTCCATCAAGCTCCTAAGAAATACTTCAAGACAAGTATTCATCCCCCTTGCTTGGACATTTGATGGTGGGTACAATGCTGAACTGAATCTAACATATGAATAACTTAAAATAATCTTCTAGACATGGCACAAAGGGCCTCATTTCTGACATGTTGGACCACTTTCAACAAGGCCAACTCAAGAATGATTATATAGATCTGAATGGTCAGAATCTTAAGAATGCTTTGGACATGGACTTTCTCCCACAGAATCAGCCAGAACTACGTGCATCTTTTCTTCCTCAACTCGAAACTGATCCTCCTTATTTGTGTCCTCACGGTCTTCAGTGTCTACTGTGTTATTTTCAATTTTTCAAAATGTTCTGTCTAGTGAAATAGATCACCTCTTGGTTGTGCGGTCTGATTCAATATGTTCAAATCTGTGGCACTTGAAACACTTTTTGCCAAAGATATACTTTGGGATGTAGATCGGTTCCTCTTGTTCTCCACTCTGTCTAAGCTTTCTCTTTGACAGGGCCAGCTTGGATGTTCTCCTAAGTGTAATTTGGTTTATAAGATGTGCTTGTCGAGCGATGATGTAGTCTCCACTTCAAAAGCTAGTTTGAACATTGTGTTTATAATAAGCTGGTAGGAAATGGCATTAGATCTCTTATTCATCTTCATAATCTTCCGTTATCTATATGCTAGTTCTTCACTTGGCCTCCTCTAATTTTCGATTCCAAAGGGTCATGACTAATCTTCCCTATGTAAGGGATTCAAATTCTTGCCTTTGGGGTTACTGATTTTAAAAATCTACAAAGGAAATTTATGGTTAGGTCAAATTTATCTATGGTTTGGTTGTTGGTAGGAAATAAGATTTTTGTTGGTGGATGTTGCTTGAATAGGGGCGGATTCTAGGAACTCTAAGATGGAACTATGGTTGCGCTAGCTTTAATACCAGATGATGCCGACGTTGACATCTTTTTTTATGTCTTTCATGTTTGATATATGCTTTTGGTGCTATGAAATTATATTTTTTAATACTCATGTTCCCATGATTGAAAAGGTCGACAAAAACAACTTTGTGCACAAATCAAGCTCAAATTTATCTTAACCATCATTGAAGTTATTCAAATGATCTCAGACCACAAAACAAACTGAACGAGCGTGTTCGGAACGTCGACTTTGTCTAAGAAGAATAACTATGTTGCTATAGTTTTGTGAAAGAGTTAAAACAAGTGAATCGAGACATTAAAATACAATTAGAATTGTGAAAACTTAAAAAAAAAAAAAAACTTTAAGAACACTTTCTCGAGAGGAGAAAAAATCGTGGAGGCGCTAGTCCCCATTTTCACGTTTGATGCCCAAGAGGACCGAAACCTACTCCACCTATCGGTTGCCGCTTGCCAGCCCAGCTCCCTTCGCCGACGCCGCTCGCCAGCTCTGCTCCATCCCTCCGGCGTCCCTGACGCTAGCTCCAGTCGCCGGGCTAGGCCGCCTCCCCGATTTTTCACATACAGCTCCTCACGAGCGGCTCGTCCTTTGGACTGGACGCGCCGCCGACCGGGCTCCTTCCTTGAGCCGGTGGCCAAAGGCTACCTGTCCTCATCAGGCCACTTCTACAACTGGTCTCCCCCTTCATGTGACGATGCCTTAACATGTGCGGCTGAATCTCTCTCACAGTTTTGACCCGATTGCTGGATCTCGCATTCGTCAGTGGTCATTTCTTCTCGCACGGTGGCCAGCTTCGCCTCCTACACCGCCGATTCTCCCTTCCTCTCCTGTCGGTGAGGCCCCCTTTCATGATGCCCTAAGCTATCTACTTCCTTCTCTTGGGCAGAGCTCTCGCTAGTCACCCCATTTCCTTACAGCCGGTAACCTGAGCTACCAGCAACCTCTGCTTCCTTCTCCATTTAGCCGAAAGTCTCACTGGAGTTCCAATCACTTATGAGGCAGCGACTGCATTGCGGCACAAATAGCCACGAATGACCCCCTCTCAAAGGTACGTGTCAGTCATATTTTTGCATGATATAATCATTTATCAGGGGGTACCTGCATACCTCCCCTGCTCTCACTCTCTGTCTGTAGGCATTGCGGGGTAGTTCAACTCATGGTCATCCTAGGAAGGGAGCAAGCTCGAAGCAAGAAAAAAGAGTGAGACCGGTTACACATTCCCTAAACCCGATTTATTTCTTTTTTAGCAAGCCTTTTTAGGTATATGTGTTGAAGAAATAGGATTAGGTTCGGTGTTAGAGGAAACTCCATAGGTTAGGAGTTTTTTGTTGTAGTCTCCATTGACCCTTGAGTTTTCCTCCATATCCCTAGCACATTGACCTAATGGTTGGGAGCCCTGTAATCCCGTGATTATTTGGTGGCTTCACCCCTTGAATGGGTTGTAGTCACCACGATCTAGAGAACGAGGAATTCCTTTGATCCTCATTCCCTAGATTGTGAATGCTATGTCCATATGGGAAAACCTTCATCTTCGTGAAGGTTTTATTTTCGTGGAAAATTTCCTTCATGTTTTACCGAACAATTAAAGGTAGACCCTCCGTTACATTGCGTAACGAATGGTAGCTACGACTACATCCCACCCTAGAACTTTATGAGATCGCTAGGAGCATTTTGATTTGCCATCTACATGCGATTGGGTTTATCTTTATGTTAAGATTTGGTCATTTATTTGAATATGCATAAGAAAATTAATTTGTTTGCATAATATCTTGTTGGATGGACCACCATCTTTGGCTGGTCACCGTTAGTCAGCTTGACCAGCCACCCGACATTGGTTGGCTTGATTGACTGCCCGTCATCATTTGGTTCAATTGGTCCCTTAATCTCAGTCAACTCGGCCGCCTACCATAGGCCAGTATGACAGGTTGTCCGACATCGTTTGGTTTGGTCGGTTGTCCCTTGTCGGATGACTCGATCGATTGTCCAATGTGGGTCGGCTCATTTGCATATATTTGGTTGCTAATTTTAATTGCCTTGCTTGTTAAATCATGATTGTTTGTATTTATATCATATGATTGCTTCATAATGCCCACTTTCATGTGCACTTTGGAGCATTTCGTGGCGAGCATATGTTGTAATATTTCCGCAACGAATGCTCGACATATGTCGAGAGTGACTAGCCCACATTTTGCTAATCCACCTCGATAATCGTTTGAATGCTCATATAATTTTGTGTGTGACCTGTCGCGATGTCTGGTCTATGTATGTGCATTCACTTTAACTTGTGTGAATGTGCATATATAGACATTTTGCTTGTCTTTTGTATCTGATTGCAACATTTGGTGCAATCACATTGAGCTTGCAAGTCATGTATTGATATATGGACTTGTGTGTTGTTTAGTACGCTAAATATGTTTGCTCGAGTGATCATAGCATAATAAAGCACCCTTGGAGTACAATGTGAATGTTCGCACCTATTAGAATATCCATATTGTACTGAATCACTTAGTGTGCTCAACATGTTAGCTCGAGAAACATGGCATGATAGTGCATATTTGCATCTTACATGTGCCTCACTTAGTCCATTTGGATAACAAGTTAACTCGTTTGTTGGTCGTAATACTTAAACAAACATTTCTCGTGGGATATTTTAGCAGTAATATAAGTTTTTGTATTCTGATCAGCATATGGATGACGGTGCTAATGTTCTAAGGGCTTTAAAGTACATTATCTAAATATTATGAACTCGCATTTAACGGTCTAATATTTTAAAATTTTAAAAATAGATATTTTCCTAATTTATATTATCCACCCTATTTAAAATTTACATAAGTTAGGCTATATGTGAGACCTCTTATTTAAAATGTCATCACCTAGTGACATATTTTAAATTTGTTGCATCTTTAGGATGCGACGGTGTTGGTGACTCCATCAAAGTCATAAATTAGCTCTTACCCACACCATGCACACATACTTAGATGTTGTGATTAGGCCACCTTGTGTTTAGATGGTTTGCTAGACTAGGGCTATGTTGCAGTTAAAAGTTTTCATGTCTTGGCTATTTTTCCTTGGTTTGCGTCCTGGCTAGTCACTTTGTGTGATGCTTTGTGTGTTTATCTGGTGTGGACTTGCACACTAATACATTAAGCTAATTTTCTACAGGGAGACATATCCAACAACGAGGAGCTTAATGATTTAAAGCTAACACTTCTTCTTACAAGTGCTGCTTAGTTCTCCTCCCACTATATATGCTTCATTATATATTGCATGTAAGTAATACGTGATAACCCTTTATATTGCAGGTTGAGTCTTTTTTTTGCCTTTTTTTAAGTATTTCGCTTAGAGTCCTTGGGATTAAATCTGTATCAGAAATTAGGTACGATCACAGATTCCGAGATGCCTGATGGGAGAAACCACGTGATGAGGACCAAAAGTGGTTGCTTGTGTCCCGCATCTTAGTTCTGATTTTCATATTTGATGTATAAAATTAAGAACATGTATGTATATATATAGCCTGATCGCATTTTTCAATTTTCTGGGATATGTTGCCAACCTAGTGACACATGACCTTTTTTATTATTTATATATTTGGCTTGTTTCCTTTTCGTTGTGTGATGACTTGTTCCCGCTTTCTTTGATTATGGATTATCTGGAAATCTTGCAAAGCATAATTTATGCTCGTTAAGGACCTTAAAACATATTTTTTATATAAACATCTTAATAATAAAAGATTGAGATAAAACAAAATTTAGGATTAAAATATTATAACTATTTAAAACATCACTTTTCTTTTTTGTATGGTTAGAATGGATTGCATGGTATGGACATAACTCAAGCCATCTCTTATAGGGTCTCCACATTATGACTACTTTATATAATTACATCATATTTGCATATCCCGAGGAGAAGTCCACGTGCTTCTTCAACCTACTTGACCAAACATGTGATTTATACTTAGGGGGTTGTCTAGTATGATTAGGATGTTAGAGGCTTCCTCGACCCAGATGGAGTATAAGTCTCTTTTCTTTTCCACTCTAGTGGCTTCCTTACTATTTCGGTGGATATAAGTCCCACCTCTACATATGACATGCCAAACCTTACCGCAAAGTAAGTAGGTTGTACAACGCAAGTGCATGTATCAAGTAGTATTCAATGTAAGAGTCCACATATCGATCTCATGAGAAAAGGCTTAACAATTTACTTCAATAGAAGAATCTCTAGTTTACTAAATTAGTTAACCTAGCTTGGCTTGATTGCAAAGTATGCTTATGTCCTAAAATCTTAATGGAAGTAGAGTAGATAACAGAAAATAGAAAACGTAGAAAAAAATCTTAAGAGTTCTTTCAAGAATGATCAGGCTCCTGCCTTTGTGATTTGGGTATTACGGTGATTGTGATGTTCTTACGTAATTGTTGATAATCGGAGATACAATACTTATTATACTTATGTCTAGGTCAAAAGAACACTAAAATCAATGAAGTTGATGCTTCCTCAATCCCCATGATATTTCCACATGAATGTTTTGATCCCCTAAAAAGTTTGCATAATCTCATTGGAATATTTCTGTCATCTCAGCATTTTATAGTTAACACTTTCTTTTCACTATGCAACAGTTAGAGATCATAGTTTCATGCAATATTTTAACATCATATTTGGTCACACTAAGAGTAAATGACATTTATAGGTTAACCAACAACATATGCCATGAAAACACACAAAATGCTAACAAAAAAAATTTGGAAAAAATAACGAGAATCCACTACCCCTACATCACAGAGACATGAAGTAGAAATTAGCCGGGCATTATCGAAAAAACCATCACAAAAGAAACTATGTAGGATTTCATTACAAAAAGCTGAAATATGTTAAACTTATAATAACTTGTCTTCTCCATAAAAGTAGTAATCATTCCTCCAATGTAATATTCTCTCACAACTCACAAGACAAGGTGGAAAAAGCCCCTTGAAGGTTTCAACCTAAGGAAGAAGAAAACCTAAAGGGAAAGCATACAAAATCTCTCTAAACTCTGCCTCAAGCCATTTCCCATGCTCCTCTAGTCCATACATTCCCTCAGGAAGCCCTAAAAATTCTTCTTATAGAAACTCCTCGAATTTAGCAAGCAAATTTCCTTCCAAAAATGATTTTGCCCTTTGCCGACATAGTTGCACTGCAAAGTGCATTGTCACGCTGCAAACTGCATTGTCATTGTCACACTAGAGTGTTGAATAAGGCAGCATGGTCACGACTGACTTTGCCGTGGTCAAGTCGTAGGTCTGGAATTTGGTATGGTCATGCCACATTTTGGTGTGGTCATGCATACCGTTGCTATCGAACATATGGCATGGCCATACCGTCTCTAGGGTCGATCATGCCGCTTCACTGCTTTTTTGCTAGTTTTTTTGTTCTGAATTGCTCATATTAAATACCTTTAACTTGCACAACATCGAGAAAAGCATTTTTTCAAGTTTAAATCTATGTTAATTAAGTGGAAATAATATGTAAATGCAGAAAAAAGTATAAGTAAAATCACATAAAATTGATGCAGGTCAATGCCCCTAAACTTACCTTATTACTTGACCTCAAATAATCACATAGCTCAGTAGGGATTTTATAAATTCAATTGGTACTCCTGCAAGTTTCTATCTATTCACCCTGTTTATCACGACAGAATAAAAGTATTTAAAATGTCATTATAGAGTCAATTATCTTTAATGGTTAATAACTCAATCTTCCCTTGATTTCCTTCATCCCAACCTTTAAAAAATTTCAATGGTTCTTAAACCAACATTATTTAAAGTTCTTTTTGGTAGCCTTGAATGTCTTTAAGGTGGTTTTGAATAGTATTACTTGAAATTTTTCTTTAAAGATGACTTTAAGTGGTTTTTTATTAAAGAATCATGAGAAAGTTGTTTCACGTAAGTTCCACTAGACACCCTTATAATACCTTTATCATTGAATTTTTATTGTGTCAACCTCAAGCTTCTTCACATTACTTTTTTGCTTTTTGACTCTCTCTTTTTTTCAATTTTTTTCTTTTCTTTTATTTTTCTTCTTTTTCTCTTGAGAATTACTATTTCTGGTTTGCAACTTTTTTCTTTTCTGATTTTAAATTTGACGTTGGGTAGCATTACTTAAGCAATAAACTCAACACCTAATATTTTGAAGTCCCACCATCAAGTTATCTTTTTTAGTTAAAACTTAAGATAACATTAATTTAGTTAAAATTTACTGAAACAAATTAAGGAATATTCTTGGTTTGCTACTTTAGCATTTAAATTATACTATTATAATAAACTGTAGATTTCTTTAAGTAATGTTTGAAGCTGTTAAGTTCTCAAATCTTCTTATTAACCTATTAAAGTTAATCTTTTCTAAATGATATTTACCTTCTTTTAATATTCTATTATAAGCAGTTTGAAATAAATCATAATTCTTAATAGAAGTTATCAATTTATATTTAATCCTTTACTGAGTTATGTGAGCTACCTTTCAGGTTTATAACAAGGTATATTTTTCTCTCCCTCACTTGCTTTTTTCGAGCACATAGATATCATGAAGTATCAATAAATTAAAAAGCAGGTAGCTCCAGGAAAAAGAAGGTAAACACAAGGGTAATCACATGCATCTAACAAATTTAACTATGTATGACATGAAACAATGCATAAATCGGGAGAGGTATGAAAATGTAGTAGGAAGAAATGAGGTTCTCGAATCTTACCCCACCATCAGGGAGTAACTACTCCTTAGAGGGACAAGATGCAAAAACTCATCAAACATAAAATTTAAAGCAAATTTCAAAGTGAATTTTGAAACAATTGTTGGAAATGAACTCATCCTCAAAACAACAGATAACACTTGGGTTCCCTTTCAAGAAAGCACTTGGTTTAACATCCTCAATTAACTCAAGTCTCATAAATCATCCTAAAAATTATCAACCCAGTAGTCCTTAATCAGTCGTCTCAACTTCAGGTTGTCTTAGATTTTCTCTTTCATCCTTAAGATGATATTATTCTCTCCACTCCATCCCAAAAACATTGATTCTATCCCATCAACCAATAGAGGTTCTACAGTAACATCTCACTTTCAATCAGATAATCATCAGTGATTTCAAGAGACAGACTAAGGTGTTCTCCTAACAGAGCTGGGTCTAGTGGTTGGGCTTCTCCTAAAAGAAGAATAACATTATCACCATTCAGATTCCCAAAAAATTCATCAATTATCATTTGCTCTTCTAGGTTAGCTCATTCGACTCAATAACTGGGATTTTTACTTCCCGATCTACCATTTCTACTTTATGATTTTGATCATTCCTAGAGACTTGGGGAGGCTCATGTGATCCTAAGACATCGAATATGACTTCTTGATTTTTCTCTCTTAAAATTACTTTCCCTTCTTGAGCATCAATGGTATCGCTGTCAATGGTAAGGAATGATCACCTAAAAGTCACATGCATCTCTTTATCAGGTTTTAGATCCAAAAACACAAAATCAGTTGAGAATATAAGCATATCAATTGTGATAGGCGAAATTTCAACAATTCATAGATGATGGGACATTGATTGATCTGCTAATTGCAATATAAAATTAGCCAACTTATTTTCTCCTCTTCTAAGCTACTTAAAAATATTTAGAAACATGAGGTTGACATTGACCCATATGTAATAAAATGCTTTTCCATGAAACTCGGTTCATATGGCATAGGGAATAGTGAAACTACCAAAATCTTTGATGAGATTTTGCAGCCTTTGAGGGAATGTAGGTGGAAGTCTCTCAAATGGGTTAATCTGATTGATAGTTGAAAATTTTCCTAATAAAGACTTCATAGGGGTGTTCTCATCCTTTTGGCTTGCTCCTCTCACTTCTCCAGTCATCACTTCTACTACTTTGCATTGCTCCAAATTTTGGTCTTTTGGATTTACCTCAATGTTATTAGGCAGTGCTATTTTCATTCTTTTCTCCTTTTATTTTTGAAGGAGTCGCCAACTTGTCAATCGTTGTATACTTCCCTTTTCTTAGTAATTCTCTCTTCCAGATCATCTAAACGATCAACAAAGGGAGGAACCATAAAAGATGAACTTACAATAAAGATGACAAATAGAGAAAGAATGTGGAGAGTTATATGCGATAAACCTCACAAGGAAAGATCAAGTATGTTTGCCTAAATAAGATCAAGTGAAAGCATCTTGGACGAGCATCCACGAAAGAATACATACGTAGACTAACAAAAGTAGAGATTCAAGTGTAGGTGTTTGTTTTGGGGTCAAGAGTTCTCCCAAGGGAATGTATCCCACTTAGTTAATTACATATTGGGGTTTGCTCAAGAATGCTCTTGATAAAAGGGGTTTCACTTATATTATTATAGACCTGGGGAAATAGGTCATCAAAGAAAGGCTATTATGTGTGGGTATGTCCATATGGTTCAAAGCTCTCATTAAGCCATTGGGCAAAGAGTGAGTATCTCACATTCCAAATGGCCAACAACTCATTGGCACCTGGAGCCCATGGAATAACCAAAACC